GTGTGTGTGTGTATGCATGTGCATGTTTTTTTGTATGTCTGTTTGTATGTATAGTCAACAAACTTCCGTGAGTCAAAAAGGGTATAGATCATATTTCACTGCTCGCAACTATCGAGCATAATTGTTTACGTCTTTCTATCCTTCATATTCGTAAGGTGTCTCTTTTACCTATGCAGGACTATACAAAAAATAACCTGGGGTACTGTGCTATATATGTATTGAAAGTATGACATGTCGGCAATCGCCTGAGTGTCTTGTATTCATCTAGTTTATACTCCACTTCTACAGGAAATATCCTGAGGCCTTGGTGGCGGTGCGAGAGGGCGAAGAGAAGAAAGAGCTTCGCGTGCATACGGTAAGTGATACATACTTGCGTAATTATATCTAATGTTATAGAGATTTCGAGTCGTATCATTGTATTGAGATAGCGATCATATAGAATACGTACAAATATACTTTCCAAAGTTATATCGGCTAAAATAATACGATGATCGTATAAAATACGTACAATTATACTCAACACACATGTCTCCGTTACACCCACAGATAGAGAGTGTGGGTGACCACTATATTGAGCATCTGCTGTCCTGCACGCGCTACGATGAGGCTGCTGATGTCTGTCGAGACATTTACGACACAAACGCAGAGGGATGGCAAAAGTGGATAGACATGTTTCTAAAAAAAGGACAAGCCAGGGTATATTTTTCTCGTAGTGTACGGTTTCTCGTGTGGTATATATTGTTCAAATAATGGACAAGCCAGGGTATGCGTACTGCGTAGTGTGCTTATTGTCGCGTGGTAAATTTTGAAGGATTACGTATTCCTTGTAGTGTACGGTTTCTCGTGTGGTATATATTTTTCAAATAATAGACAAGCCAATATATGCGTACTGCGTAGTGTGCTTATTGTCGCGTGGTAAATATTGATGAATTACGTATACCCTATAGTGTACGGTTTCTCGCATGGTAAGTTCTATTCGAAGCGACACCTGGCGACAACAGCCCATGCAATCAATTCCATTACATTGTCAAGCGCTCCATAACACCATACAAACGAAAACTATGCCTGTATTGATACGCACTTACTTTGCACCGGCTCATCCTAATCATTTCATCAGGCTATTGCGCCATTGGTGCCGACTGAGAACCCTCAACTACCCTCCGAGGTTTACACTTCTTTGCTGCTGAGCTTGGCTGAGGGCGAAGTTGCTGAGGTACTGCATGTGTTTGTAAATACGAAAACGTGTGTGAATATGTACACACACATTTGCGTATACGTATTGACTTCGAGTCTACACATGTATACATTGTATATATCCGGGTACAGTTACCTGTCGTAATGCATTTCTAGTGACGTGGCTTGTGCGTATAGTGTCACAAGCACCCATCAACCAATCACGATAGCATGTCTCATTTTGTCCATCTCGGTGCTAATTCTTGGTTCTGAATTCAGTTCGTTTTTCTGGAGCCGGAAGCGCAATTTTTGCACTTATCGTACCAAACACTTACTCTGAATTCAATTCGCATCTCTGAGCCGAAAGCTCTACCCTCACCCTACCAATACGCGGTTTTGTGCACAAGCGGCTCCATTTCCACTTAGTATACTACTTCCTGAAAAGCCCAGTTTGTCACTCATCCCTAAAAAGCTCGGTTTGCCACTCAATATACTAATTCGTGTTCCTGAATGCAATACACGTGTTTATATTGAACAGTGTACCGTATTGCGAGAACTCATTGGGCAGTGGGACGCGCATCTCTACAGCTCAGCAGAGGCTAAGACCGCTGTGCTGGACAATCTGAGAGTCGCCGAGGGGGAGAGGGAAAGGCTGTTGAAGTCAACCCTGGCGCAAATGTATGTGTGTATTTATAAATAGAACAACCGGCGAATATAGGCTGGAAAATGAGTACATATGTTGCGATGCTCTCCCGCGCGTGTGTGTATAGGACTGCGTGTAAAAAATAATGGTCATGTGAGATCATGCCTATACGCCTTGCGTGTGGATGAGGGTACGAACAGGCCGACAAGAGTGATGCTGTAGACATCTCTGTAAGAGAATGTGTAGGCGTGGGCCTAGTTGATCATACGAGATTGTGTGTCGGTTGGGCATAGCATGTGCGGCGGAGTGTGCCTGTGTACGTGTTTATCGACAAGCTGCATGCATCCGCACGGAAGAAAGTGCTGTTGTTGCTCTCTGTGCTGATATATATATATATATATATATGTATTGTGTGTGCGTGTGTGTGTGTGTGTGTGTGTGTGTGTGCGTGTGCGTGTGCGTGTGTATTGCAAACATACTTCTGTGTGATACATATCAACGCATAAAAAATAGCATGTACGTGTGAGTTCATGTGTCACGCCGGAGTTCGTGCTTGTGTGTGTGCAGATCTCTTGCCAGTAGCCAACGAGGGCTGATTGGTGCTGGTAAGAGTCCTTTCTGGCACAGATGCATGCATGTGTGAAGGTGTACATGTTAGGTAGTAGCGTACCGTGAAATCGTTTGCGGGTGCAGGAGTGTGAATATACTGGTGCGTCTGTGAGTGAGGTAAACTTTAGAACTGACAAAGTCCTTCTAGCTCGAAGTCATGTATGTATACGTGGTATACCATTAAACTTCTCTATGTTGTAGTCTACGCCTTCGTGTGGGCGGACCTGTGTGCACGTAGTAAAGGCGAACGTGGGACTATCGAAGCCTGTCCTTATGCGAATGTATGGATGCGTACGGATACGGTAGATTCTTTTTAAATGTATATGTGCGGTTTTAACGTGTATATATCTGTACTTCTGCCTGCTAATGTGTATAGAATTGACAGGTAGGTGTGGTAGAGCTTTTTGTGAAACTCAAATCTAAGCATAAATATTGTGACTCCTCGTAGCGAATGTCCAACATACACATACAATGTCTATCCACATCCACACGTAGATACCGAGACATGGACAAACCACACAAGGCTGTCCCTATACTACTGGATCTGGGGGAGGGTGATGTACTGGAACTGATCTACGAACACGCACTCAGCGAACAACTGCTGGCCCATCTAGATAGACTGCTTGTACTGGACAGGTAGGTAAGGAGCAGGCAAGAGATCTGTGCTAAAATTAGAATCGAGGATTCTCGAGGATTCTCAGGAACCGGGCGCAGAGACTCTTTGAGTAGCTGGTAGCACTCCTCTACAGAGTGCTGGTTCTGGGCATATATGTATGGAGTAAGGAGTAGATTAACGCTAGTGCCTGTTTCATCATGATATATACTCTAAAACTCAGCATGTGAGAAAATGCAATAAGTAGAGTTCGATACATTATTACATGATGATTCCTTAAGACCTGTACATTAACACTATGACACCCCGTCACCTTCTAAAGCTCACACACAAACAAATGTATGCAAAGGAAGTTGTCTTTATAATCGAACTTTGACCATGTGCGATGGCATTACAGCAACATGACACTATAAAACGAGAACATCATGAGAATATGACAGCATGGCAAATGAAGTCATGAGGATACTTTTTATTGACAACTCACGCTATGATATAATGCGTGCACAGGGAGAAGACTATACAATATCTGCTGGATCACAAGGAACAAATCAAGGTGCGTGGTTATGAGAATACTGTTGAGTCTAATAGAGCTTGCGACATTTACTGTCTAATGCTAGCAATGGTGATATCGCAACCAGCAATTGTGCTGAAGTTAGCGTGTGAACTATAAGAGTTTTATAATCTTTTGGAAGTATATGGACAATTCACGTTGTTAGTAGTGATTGCTCTTGCAACAGCGTATTATATAATTCATCACAATCGCAGACAAGAACAGAAAACACACCACGCACCTGTTTTTTAACGTTTGTAAGCCATGTGTAATAAATATTGCACTAAACATATAGAACAAACTGTTACATCTCAATTAATGCAGGTTTATACAATTGTAGACAAGGTAAGTAAAATACCCCCACATGTCTGATTAGTCGGGATCAATGCATCAGTCATATTTGTAAAATTTAAAATATGGTACTCCATTTCAGCTTCCTATGTAAACCGTTGTGTACTATTTTACGCAGGCCAGCACCATCATAGACAAACTCAGCACGGACCCCCCCCCCCTCCCCCCTCCCTCATCTGTTATAGTACTTGGTCGCGATGATTTAAAACCAAATCACCAAACCTATTGAATGAAGGTCAGATATGGAACATCACCTTAGAATGACATACAAACCACTATACATCGTTTATTGCAGGTCAACACCATCGTGGACAAACTCAGGAAAGACCCGCTGCATCTTTTCTATTACTTAGACGCGTTGTCCTCGGAGGATCTTGCTGCGGGTGCGCCTTTCCACGACCTACAAGTCGCATTGTGCGCGGAGTACGCCCCTGAGAAACTAATGGAATTGCTAAAGCACAGCAACTTCTACTCCCTGGAAAAGGTAGGTATATTCTCTGGGTAGGTACCTGTATTCTGTGAGGAGGATTGATTGTCTTCAGGATGTGCTGTGCTGAGATGTATCGTAGGGAGCTCAGGAAATGCATACACGCATACACCGAGGACATACGTATGTACGTACTTTTAATGAAGTGGGATCTGCTGTGTGCGCAGATACTTGATACAGCAGAACCAGCTCTGTATCTAGACGCAGGCAGAAAAACTGGTAGGTATATGTACTCGCTATATATGGGATCGCCCGAAACGAGACTAAAGAATCACGTACGTAGTCAGTGAGCTACCGGCATTTCCAATCGCTCTACAATAGACCATGATCGAAAGGCCAAGTACGGAAGAGATGTTCATTGCAGGAGATGTATTGCATAATCTATACGAGGGCTGAGCGTGTATAGCAAACGAGAGGGGTTCGCAATGTATACGAAGAAGTTACACTAGTGGGAACTTTGTAAACCTGTCGCGTGGGGTTTGTGAGGTAGTCCGCGATGAAAATAGCATGTTGAAGAATTCCAGCGCACTCTATATGTTGTGTACTCTTATTGTGAAAGTGTAGAACTTTGAAGTTTGCGTGATGGGTTTGCAAATACGGATACCTGACTCGTGTCGGTAATTTTCTGTGCGGTCTATTCATTTTCACCTCCGTAGAAATTCGCATCATATACCGATTTGTGCGTGCTTCCTTCAATTACTAACTTGTGTGAAGGGATTGGTGTATATACGTTAATGAGCACCTTCGCTCTCTCTGCAAAGGCACACTCTCGATGATGTGTATATGTGTGCGCACTTGTAAGATTGCCCATTTATATGCGCCTTCCATCTTGATGACCACGTAGAATAAGTCTTTCATATGTTTATATGAGTGTTAATTCAATGGATGCACTACATACCTCATATTTGCAATATCATAGTGATATTTATACACTCAAACACACATCATTCATGTCATTTACACACTTTTGTGTTTGTACGTGTATAGGTGTGTACAAATATCAACATGCATACTCTTCTATTGACTTCACATTTATCTGTCAATATATACAAATACATCTCTCAGGATCAATTTCCTAGTCCTAGCCCTTACTTTATCGATATGCTTATGTTCATATGCTTGGATACACCTACAGGCTCTGCAAGTGTGTCGCGAAAGAGACCTGGTGCCGCAAACGGTGTTTCTGTACAGTCGCATTGGCAACAACAAGCAGGCTCTGCAACTCATCATCGATCGCTTGGGGGATGTGCACATGGTACGTATATGTATATAGTGCTCATATCCTTGTATCATACGTGAATATCCATGTGTATATGTAGGTTTTAAATTATATATAGTGGTATGTGAAGTGAGTATTCAAGTATATATATTGTGCATTAATGTGTACATAGGGATGTATCGTGGGAGCATCTAAGTGTATATATTGTGCATTAATGTGTACATAGGGATGTGTCTTGTGGGCATCTGCGTGTACGTGTTGTGAATATCTATGGGTATAGCTTGCGTATATTTTAAATACTGAGATGTGATGTGGACGCTTATGTGTATACGTTGTGCACTCGTAAGCTATATAGAGGTTTATTTTGCATACAAATATGAGGTATATATGCACATGTGATGTGGTGGTCGTGCTTGATCGCTTGCTCCAGTTTCTGTACAGCTCTGGTGGCGGGGTCTGTGTGACGACCTATGTTGGCTCTTAGGCGTTTATGTGGATATATTAATGATGCGGTGTTGACATTGCACTAGTCTTGCGTGATTACAATGTTTAGCTATAGCTAGCGTGTCCGTGTGCAATTGTATCGTGTACCTGTCGCGTATATGCCTGTATTTGATGATGGCTCAGATTCGGTTCAAACGTACATTTCATGAGATCATCCGGTTTCTTCGTTTGCTAACTGAGTTGTCGGTACGCAATTCATTTGAGTCTCAGTTTCTACCTTTAGTCGAACTGATAATGTTAGCGTATTGCGTGTCTGTATGGTACTATATCTTGGTGAGTTGTTAGGTACTATATCTTGGTGAGTTGTATGGTACTATATCTTGGTGAGTTGTTAGGTACTATATCTTGGCGAGTTGTATGGTACTATATCTTGGTGAGTTGTTAGGTACTATATCTTGGTGAGTTGTATGGTACTATATCTTGGTGAGTTGTATGGCACTATATCTTGGTGAGGTTAGGTACTATATCTTGGTGAGTTGTTAGGTACTATATCTTGGTGAGTTGTATGGCACTATATCTTGGTGAGCTGTTAGGTACTATATCTTGGTGAGTTGTATGGTACTATATCTTGGTGAGTTGTTAGGTACTATATCTTGGTGAATTGGACATGACCTCGCGCGGTGTCTACCTGCATTTATAGAAAGCTCTCAACCCATCGCATTGTTCTGTTGTTGCAGGCGATCAATTTTGCGAAGGAACAGAACGACGCGGAACTATGGGACGATCTTATAGTCTACTCGGCGGATAAACCAGGTAAACATAAACTTATCATATGCATCTATATCCAACATATATACCCTCTACTGCATACATAATAAGTGTTATTTGATAGCAAAAGTGGCAATAAACCAAGTTTGATAAATTACTGTATGTATTTATATCTAACATGAATACGCTGGGCTTTCCTATTGTGTGTCATTGGATAGCCAAAGTGACAAATGCAATTTATAGTTATACCTAGGCCGATACGGTCTTTGTTTACTTTCATGCACTTCGCGTGAACATGATCGTGAAATACTGAATGCGATCTATTCACAGGTAATCGGCATAGTATTCAAGTGTGACTGATTTCGTGGGTTTTTATTTCATTGTCAACCGATAAAATGTCCCTATCAAAGTCTTATATACTTACCCATCCGTATCCTCTCCATCTCCGTTCAAATTCATGTATATTCTAGAATTCATCCGGGGGTTGTTGAACAACATCGGAACACACGTTGACCCGATAGTTTTGATCCGCCGCATTCCACTGGGCCTACCGATACCTGGGCTAAGAGACTCGCTGGTTAAAATTATGCAAGACTTTAATCTACAGGTAAGCGTGTGTGTCCGTGTCTGTGTCTTTCTGTGTTTGTGTGTGATGTGTGTGTGACGTTGCACGAATACGGCTCATAAGGGGTTTCGCTTATAGGTAATATTGAGAGAAAAGTATCAGAAGCTTCTTTTTGCCGATATATTGACACTTTCATTCGTGATACGGATGCGATTGATACGTTGTTCCGCAATCAGGTGTCATTGAGGGAAGGATGTCAAAAGATTCTGATCGCCGATGTGCTGACACTAATGAATGTTCTGGTGAAGCAGAGGCGGAGGGGCACGAGGTTAGGTATGTCGCTAGTGTAGTTTATCTGGGTTTCTTACTTTAGACTCATAAACTTGATTTGAATCTGACACGATTGATAGATTACCGTAGCTTCTCCTGTCATTCAGGTATACAACGGTTGCGACTGTCAAAGTGAACCCTGATCTATCACAGGGCGACTGTGATAGAATCCTTATCTGTGGCAATCTATGTAGGTGCCAGATCCTTTGAGTTGGGTCCCTTTACAATTTCTCATATTTGGGTTATGGCGAATTGGACCATTGTTTATTATCCAGTCACAGACCAGTATACCAGGCGGTCGTGTCCGGGTGCGTACCAATTCTTCTGCATACATACCTATCAATTCAATTATTCTGTATATATACCTATCCATCCAATTCTTCTGCGAACATACCTATCCATCCAATTATTCTGTATACATACCTATTCATCAAATTCTTCTGTATACATACCTATCCATCCAATTCTTCTGTATACATACCTATCCATCCAATTGTTCTGTATACATACCTATCCATCCGTATCTTGATCATGGGTCTCCTTCTCAATTTATTTTCGTTCCTGAATAACCTTCATGGGTGGCGTGCTTCACCTGTTGCTTGCTCTACTGTAAGCTCTGTTGCCGATTTTCTCCGTTGAAATACATATTGGGCCCTGTAGTACAAGGCTAGCAAGGATCTTCTATTGACAATTGCTCGTCTTTGCGGCTCACTTCCACATCAATCCTAAATGATCGTGTATTTTTCTATTTCATTCAACACATCCTATTATGCCCTATCGACCCATCAGTGTACTTACAGTGTAGCATCGAGCGGTTGGGCGGGGTTGGAATTATCATCACACAAGATATTTTGTTAAATCGTACATTTTTTTTTGACTCCCGCGTATTTCTGCTCAAATTTGTAATTCTTCTGACTGCGTAAATACAGGAGGAGATTCTGTCTGCGAGCTGTGTGACGGTACTCTGAGCAGCCACGGTATGTACTATCAGATCTTTTATCTCGTAGATTGGCTATATTGCCTGTAGTGATTCCTTATTATCTGGACTACGCTAGAATTCTAGGCAATTACAAATTGAGTCAGGGTAGTTTTCAAGAATGCTGTTGTGTAGATCATCGCACCAATCATGATTTTTGGATTGCAAATAGAACACCATTGATTGTCTTTCTGTTAATTCCTAATCTGATATCCACCTCCGCCTCTCTGATTATGTGATTGGGTTTCTGAATTCGTATCACAAATTAAATCTGTGTCCCAATTGTGACATGCAGCTGGCTACCATAAGAGTTTTGTTGTCTTCTACTGCAAACACGTTTACCATCGGGATTGCATCCACTCGCTGCAAGGCGCCACAGACCCTGCCCCCGGAACGGTAAGTGACTAAATTTGTTATGTTTGCGTGTTTAATGTTTATTGTTTGTTTTAGCCAGACGATTTTTTTTGTAAACTATTCCTGTCTAGTTTAAAGGTGCAGGGTGCACAGTTTTTTTTATAGAAC